CACCACTAAGGGAGGACACCCCCAGCTGGCCCCCTGGCCCCAGAGACACGTGTCCCAGGAGAGCCACCCAGCCCATCTCAGCCCAGGCCAGCTGACCCTGGCCATTGTGTAGCCCTGTGGGAAACAAAAGTGTTTTGCATTGAAGGAATCTGATCACCACCATGCTAGGCTGGCCAGAGACCGCTTTAAATCCCTTCCCCCGCTGTGCTTTTACACCTGCTTCAGGTGTATCATCATGGGTTGAGAAGGTCCAGTCAGCACAGCTACACCCTACAACTCTTATTCAGCCCTGCTTTTGACAAGCAACCACAACTCCTTATGCATTCTCACGTCTTATCCCTGGCAGGTAGTCACAAGTCCTTTTCACTGAACTCTGCCCCTGGAAAGTTCATCGTGGCCTTTTCCTTTCATAGCCCCCCTTTATGCTCAGGACCTTCTAGAAGACCCCATAGCCTATACGAGAGCGATCCAGTCTGGTCTCCAGTGCCAGGGCAGTGCCACTCAGGTTTGTTCTGAAATAAACCTGTCCCGTTGAGCTCATACCTTGGTTTCTTTTCCTCCTTTTTTCCTAACACATGTCACATGCTGCTGAAATTTTGTGGGCTTTGTTTCACTGCACAATGTAGCAAGAGTTAATTAATATAAGAAGTCACTAAAAAGTTAAAACTGCATCTCTGTCTAATCATGGCCCTTCTGATGAGGGTGAAAGGCAGCTCATTGCACAGCTCACCCTTGGGGTGTGAGGGAATTAGATCCAGGATCCCTCGAAGGTACCCAAACCCACTGTGCTCGAGCCCTTATTGAAAATGGCACAGTGGGCGGTAACCTACTCATAGCCTTCCGTACGCTTCACATGTTACTTCCAGTACCTACTGCAGTGTAAATAGTGCTTATACTGTATTGTTTAAGGAATAATGAAAAAAGTCTGTATGTGATCAGTAGGATTAGAAAATATTTGCAGTATTGGCTGAAGTGTGGGGTGTGGAACCTGCAGCTATGGAGGGCCGACTGTGCTTCTGATTTGCATTCCCCCAAGGATGTCCAAGCAGCTTTCCTTGTGCTTATTGGCCGTTCCTACTGGGATTCCTTTGGAGGTAGAAACACCTATCTATTAAAGATAGAAACTCACAAAGGGAACAAACATCCTGTGTCTTTAAAGAAGGATAAATTTTGCGTCTTAATCCATAATGACAGTTCATCAACAAACATTCCAAAAGCACCAGATGAAACAAAATTCATGACTGAATTGTTCAAACCCATAAACTCTCAGATGCACTGTCACTAGCTGTGTGTCTCTAGCCAGTTACCTGGCCTCGTGATTTCCTCATTTTTAAAATGGGAACCATGTTATTAACTATATTAGACTATCATAAACATTTTACTATAGTGCTTGAAGATTGTTGCTGCTCAGTAAATATTATTCACAACATTATTAGTATTAATAATAGTTGATGCAGCTGTTATATCAATTTTTTTTTTTTTGGTACCAGCAATCGAACTCGGGACCTTCCGCTTGCGAGGCAGGCGGTGGAACCACTGAGCTAAATCCCCAGCCCCCTGTTACATCAATATTAAAAAAACTGTAAAAAAGCATAATCTTATATTCACACAAAATTTTGCACAAGAATGCTTATAGCAGCTTTAGTCATAATTGCTGAAACTTGGAAGCAATTAAAATGTCCCTCAGGAGGTGAACAAAGTGTTGTATAAGCATATTATGGACTATTATTTAGTAATTAAAAAGACCCATCAAGATGTGGAAAGACACAGAGGAAACTTAAGTGCGTACTGCTAAGTGAAGGAAGCCACTCTGAAAAGGCTGCACGATTCTAACCATATGACATTTTGGAAAGGGCAAAACTGTTAACAGTAAAAAGAGCAGTGGTTGCCAGGGGTTAGTAGGGAGCGAGGGATGAATAATTACAGCACAGAAGATTTTTAGGGCAATGAAACTATTCTGTTTGACATTGCATTGGTGGCTACATGACATTCTGCGTTTGGCAAAGAACATGGAATCAGAGAGCCCTCATGTGAAGTATAGACTATGGTTAATAATGAGTCAACACCGGCACATCGTAATGAGTGAACCCCATTAATGTAAGCTGTTAATAAGGAAGAATTAAGCAAAAAGAAAAGGAGTATTTGAGAACTTTCTGATCAGTTTTTCTGCAAACCTAAAACTGCTCTAAAGAATAGTCTGTTAAAAAATGGAGAAAAAAAGCATAAGAGAAAAATTTTGCGTGAGAGTATTTAAAATCAATTTCTCCTTAGCTTGTACCATGTTGTTTCTAAAATGCGTGTGTAACTGTTTGTGATTGTAGACATGTTTATAAATTGTTAACTTTAGCTTGAGGACAATCATACGATTGTTTTTATCTTCTAACTTGGGAGAGCATGACAGTGTGTGCATGGGCATGTCACTCCTCCCGGACTGCACCTCACGTCAAGTGTTAATGAGCTGTGGAATCACTTGGTTATTGTGAAGGTGCAGACAGTAGTTTAGCGGGTTTGAGATGGGGCCCGAGATTCAATATTTCTAACCAGGCCCAAGGGTGCCACTGTTGCTGCTTCAGACTGTGTTTTAAGTAGCAAATGTATAAACAGAGGCACCTGAGTGTGTGGTCTCACCCGGGTGGGGTCATCTCAGCCAGTTCCTCCACTGACTGTGTCTGTCCATCTCTTGTGTGGAAAGATGACACCTGGCTATTTCAGGACCAAAGGTTTTTCCCACCAGACCTGACTTGCAAGCCCAGTCATTGTGTCTTCAGTACTTGATGTGACTAGCGAGGACCACATAATGCTGAGCACCAAACCATGCCACAGCTCAGGTGCTTAGAAGACCTGAATTGATTTCCATTGGTCTGCAGGGCAGTTGCTGCTGGATGATCCAGGTTGGGCACGGTGGGACTGGGTCTCCTCCTCCGTGCTCCAGCAGCTGCCTAGAGACCCCAGTGCAGGACCTTCTGAATACTCAAGATAGGACAATTCTGTCCTCAAGGAAAAGCAGGTCAGGTGCTAGGAGGGCTCAGATTTCTCTGGTGCTTGCTCTTCCCAAACTCCCTGGGGAACTACCTGCTGTCTTCATCTTAAATTCTCTGTCCAGATGTTGTCCACACCTGGTGGACTCGAAGTATGAACTTGGTTTTGGATGCCGTTGGCTTTTGTTCTTTGCCAGATGCTGATAATCCCACCTCATCCTTCACTGTGAATGTGCCAAAGCCTTTTTTATTCTTCTGCATTCATCCCACAGACAACAAAGCCGGCAGCAACTCCATTTAGCCCAGCTTCTCTTACAGGTGAGAGCAGTTCTGTGTTGGAAAGAACACAGTGGCTGACCCAACTGAGTGCCCAGTGGCCAAGTCTTCAACAATTTGAGTAAGAAAATTAACAATGATAGAAACAGGCTACAACCCATGGAATAAAATAAATATCTACAAGCTATACTGAGATAAGTAGTTGAACAAATAGAGTTGAGAGAGAAGGGGCAGTTCTTTCTTACAGCAGAATTCCAATTATTAAATTTCCAGAGAGTGATGGGAATGTAAAATATTTCGCGTGACCACTTGATACGTATCACAGCTTGCAGGTATGGACCATGGATGGAAGCAAAAATGAGCAGGCCAAAGATGATGCAGAACACATGTTTGTACAGGTCTCAGGGAACATCCTTTCCTATTTGCAGAAGCAGCCACAATAATTGCATTGGAGAAATCTGGTGGACACCTGTGTGATATTTCTACCCTCAATGCATAACCTCAGCTAACCATGAGAAAATGACAGGCTCAAAACAAAGCTAGTGTATGAATAACTGACACATATTCTCCCAGAGGGCGAAGGTCAAAATATGCAGACTGAAGAGCTCTCCCAGACTGCAGGGCACCAAAAGACACACTGCTAAAAGCAATGTGAAATCTGGATTGTGGACCAGAAAATGGACACTGGAGGGGCAACTGACGAATCTGCATATTGCCTCTAGATCAATTAATAGCACTGAGCTGGTATTAATTTCTCAGAGGAGATCACCATCCCATGGTTGCTACAGTGTTTGTATTTGGGGAGCTAGGTGCAGGTTATACATATACTAATTTTACAAACTTTTTGCAAAGCTAAAAGTATTTCAAAGTGAGAAATGAAAAGTAATAATGTGTTCTAGATCATCTGCTTCTGTTCAGATCTGGTTATATGACTTACTAGCTGCATGAATTGGGGGAAGCCACCTCATTTCTTCTTCCCTCAGTTTCCTCATCTGTAAAATGGGAATAAAATAGTACCCACCTCAAAGGGTTATAAGGAAAATTAAATGTGTTGATATATGTACAGTTCTTAGAACTCAGTACCTGGGCTCAGAGCAAGGGCTCTGAATTACATGTAATTGTCAAAATTATATAATTATTATCTTCTGCTGAGCCTAGTGTTATTTCTCCCTCTCCCTCTTTTCTCTCTCCTTCTCTCCCTCTCCTCTTCTCCCCTCCCTCCTTCTCTTTTTCCCTCTCCCTCTGGGAGGCTTCTGACATAGGTCCTGGTGCTGATTTTGTCTCCCTCTGCCAGCATTCTGATAAGACCAAATCAAGCATCAGATTTGTGCCTCAAGGATTATTTACTTTTAAAGCAACTGAAATAAGTTTTCCCTGTTAGAGTTGTGGCCTGGGAGATGCCTGCCTCGGAAAGACAATGTTCAGATGACCAAAGCAACCTGTGGGGCCCATTTCCCTCCTCCCTGTGGGAGGCTGCAGACCTTTTGGGTCTGTTGGGTCAACCGCCCTCGTTGGTTTCAGGTATGTGCATGTGTGCATGTATGTATCTGTCTCACAATGAACTGTCCCAGCCCTCATCTTGTGGCATATTTTAGGATTTGTTGGTCAATAAGACTGCAGCACACACACCAGCTTCAGTCTCTGCTTGGGCCTTGCCTTTGATGTCACAATCTGACTGTGTCTGTTAATCTGGCCACAGCTGCTCACAGACTAGAGCAGCAAGGTCAAGAGGACCAGTGAAGTATGATGTAGAGGAGGACAGACCATCCTTCCAAAAGTAAAGCTGGGAATAGACTCAAGGCGGGCCAGTTCAAGACTCCAGGTTCAGCTCGGGAAGTGGCCATGCCACCCACTGTGAACCTGTCAGGACTGCAGAGCTTCCCTATGCTAGAGGACATCAGCCATTACATCAAAGACATGGGTGCCCAGCTGGTGAAGAAAGTCAGTGCCATCTTTCAGCTGGACATCACTAAGGATGGGAAGACCATTCTGCAGTGCACCATTGACCTGAAGAACAGAGCTGGGGACATGTATCCAGGACCCGCAGGGCTCCTGGCAGACACTGTCTTCACAATCCCAGAGTCTGTCTTTATGGAGTTAGTTTTGGGGAAAATGAACCTGTAGAAAGCTTTCTTGGCTGGCATGTTCAAAGTGAGTGGCAAAGTTCTCCTCAGCCAGAAGCTGGAGAGGGTTTTCAAAGATTGGGCTAAGTTTTAAGCATGCAAAAACACGAAGGAAAAGAGCAATACTTCTCTCTGATGATAATATCGAATGGAAATCATGCTTAAAATGAAGATTAAAGTAAAGAGAACCTGATATTTTAAACTCAAATTCTTCCTACTCATATGTGATTAATTTTCCTGCTGCTGTATATGTTTGTGGTGAGAGCTGTGGAGCAGTAAAGAGCATTGGAGTGCATCACCTCAGATCTTGGTCTTTTAATTTCCCTAGCTCCATTTATTTTTTAATGTAACAATGAAGCCACATGTAGTCGGATGGGTAATTCTGTTAGTTGTATTTAAGTGCTCTGATGATTGAGTTCCCAAGAATTGTCAATTTTCCAAGTTTGATGCTTTGGGGAAAAGTGATTCATCGTGCAAATCTGCATGCCACCAGTAAGTTGGGGGAGGCGGGCTGCAGGGCTTTTAGTGGGTAGAATCCAGGTAGAGGGCAGCGTACCTGGTGCATTATAACTTCTGATGAAGCCAACTCTAGGAAAGTTGAAAGGTGATCTAAGCCAGTGGTTCTTAGATTGGGGCATGTGCCGGAGTCACCTGGAAGGTTGGTTCAGGTTCAAACTGACCGGGACCACCTCACATTCTCCACTCATTAAAATGCCTACTGCTGCAGCATTCCCTGGAGATGTTGATGAGACCAGCCTGCTGCTTGACTTCATGCAAAGCCATCAGTGTTGGCCACAGTTGTTCTCCTTGAGACCAGTGAGATGCTGCTCCTATTTGCAGGATCTCCTGGAGACAGATTACAAGGCCTTCTGTGAGTCATTTCTACAATATTGATGCTACTGGGAGCTTGTGTATGGAGGATTTTATAAAAACTGGAGGGATTTTCCCTCCTGGGATCTCTCTTTACCTATTGTGTGGGAGGCCACACTCTTAATGGGTAAGTGTGTGTGTGTCACTGGTTCCTATGTGGTCTGAGGGTAATTTTTGATCTTGTAGGTTAAATATGACAGCACAGACACTCCAAAACTCACAGGAGAGTTGTATCCAAACTGCTGTGCTGAGATGTCTGCCTACTGTCTTAGTCAGTTTTCAGTTGCTATGACAAAATACCCAAGACTGAGTAATTTACAAGGAGTTTATTTGGCTCATGGTTTTGGAGGCTGGGAAGTCCAAGACCCTGGGGATCTGACGAGGCCTTCTTGCTGTACCCTAACATGGCAGAGGGTGTCACACAGCCAGACTCACACCAGCTCAGGTCTCTCTTCTTCTAAAGCCACTAATGATCTGGTGGGGCCACAACCTCATGACCTCTCTGAACTCTGATTATTGCCTGAAGGCCCCACCTCCAAATACTGTTAACATATTGTGGGGATTAAGTTTCTAACACATGAACTTTTGGGGGGACACATTCAAACCAGCACCTACCAAATTATCCAGCCATTCCACTCATAGATATTTTCATAAGGCAGATGAGAGCCATATACACAAATACAGAACCTGGTATGATGTCCATCCATAGGGGAACTGGTGAACAGGCTATGGTGCTCATACCATGGAATACTTCTCAGCAATAAAAAAACATTAATATACATGCAACAAAGTGGAAAAAAGTCAAAATAATTATGCCAAGTGAAAGGCACCAGAAAAAACCAAACAGATACTATATGATTCTATTTATAAATATTAGAAAAAGCAAACAATAGTGACAGAGAAAAGATCAATGGTTGCCAGGAGACAGAACAAGGAGGTAAAAAAGATGGGGGGGGTGTTGTTAGGAATGGCATTGAGGAAACTTGGGGTGATGAATAGATTTATTATCTTGATTGTGGTGAAGTTTACAAGTATATGTATAGGTCAGATCATCAAACTGGACATTTGCTACATACACATGCCATTCATTTTGTGTTAGTGTGGGAGAATGAAGCTGTCTTGAAAACCTCCAGTCTGCTCAAAGCAAGGGCTACACGCGATTATGTTCCAGGGAGGACCTGTGCTCAAGAGTTCCTAAGTGCATTGTGGGTTGGTTTCCCAAGCCTACAGACTTGTGTGGCCCTGCTGGGACTTCCTGGGGTCTCCGTATTAGAAACAGGTAGGGTGAGGGCTTGTCATTCACACAACAGCATCTTCTCCCATGGTCACTCTACTCCATGGTGAGACATCGCCAAGGTTGGTAGTGGAGCTGGTGTGCTTTCTGTGTCTCTCCCCATGGGAGCCTTGAATTTGATGACCTGTGGGGTGTGCCTGCCATGCCCCTCACCGGGCAGCTGTGGCGATCCTAGGGCCTCCCCCTGACTGTGAGTATTGGTTGGGTTTTTAGCTCCTCAGGCCCTGGCTGCTCTGCTCAAGGTGCATTTATGAGCATCCAGCAGGGGGCAGGGCAGGTGATTGGGGCGTTGTGCTCTTATCTCTTTTAGGGGCAATAGCTCACCCAAGCCCTTGCTCCCAAGGACCCTGCTCAGACCTCGAGTCACCATAGCCTCTGTTAACTGGCCTTGAGACAGGGTTGCTTGGAGGCAGGGTATGGACCTAGCAAAAGGTGTTACCTAGGGTCACTCCTGGGCTAGCATCTGACCCATTCTGACGGGGGAAAAAATAGTGGTCTCAACCAGTCAGATTACTTTCTTAGGAAGTTGGAATTGGGAAAAAGAGAGACTGAGCTACAAGCAAGCGGGGGGGATGGAAGCTAAGGCTGTGAGGGGCCTCAGGCTGTGGGGAGGGGGCCCCATGGCAGAGCTGAGGGGAGGTGTACAGGAGCTTGAGCAAGCAGAGCAAGCTGGTCAACCTAGGGAAATGGGACAGACAGCAAGCCCTGCTCAGTGAAAGGAAGCAAACCTCAAAGGCTGAGGTGCCATAGGTGAGGGGCGCTGGGAGGGCTCAGATTTTGCTGTAGTTTGGAGCTCAGGGTTACCACCCACATCTGCACTGTCACAGCAGTTACTGAGCTGCTTTCTGCTTGGCTTCCTCTTCTGGAAATTGCTGAAGAAGCCTAGCAGTGACCAAGGCCTGCTGGGAGGCACTATCCTAGGAGGGCTCCATAAATGGGAGCTCCTGGGTTGGGGGGACTCTTGCTGGCTCCCTATTGCCTCCCAGCAAGTCCACACCAGTGATTTGCACACCCCATTCCAGGGACCTCTCTGCCCACTGTCTTCTTCTACTCAGTTGGTGCCCTTGGAGGCCACACCTGGCTCAGGGCACACATTGGCCTTGTGTTGGGTCTGCCCAAATCCAGGCAGCACAGTGACTGTATGGTTTAACTGAGGCCATAAAACTGGGATTTGTAGATTCTCTTGGAAAACAGGAGTTTGGGTCATGCTGTACCCACGTTCTTTCTAGGCACTAGCCTGACTGGGGGTGAGACGGGCTCTCTGGACAGATTTAGATCACACTCAGCATCCTGGACCCTGAGGCTGTGTTTTGGGGGCCACCTGTCACGGGGCCACACTGCTGCTTTCTCAGCTGGCCTGCCTTAAAGGGCCCTGTGGGGATTTGTGTCTATGACTGCTGCTCCCCACAGTTAAGTGGTCTTTCTCTTCCCCTCACTGGAGAGCCCTGTGTTGATTTTCTCTGGTTGTACAAATTACTGCCAACTTAATCTCTTAAAACAATACCCATTCACCCATTATCTCTCAGTGTCTGTGGGGCAGAAGTCTGGTGGGCTCTTCTGGAATCTCATCTCTAATGCTTCTGGCCTCAGGCACTTGGCCTGGCTGAGCTTTCTCCTGGGACTTGAGTAAGAATCAGCCCCAAGCTCACTTGGGTTTTGGCTTTTCACGAGCATGGGCCTGAGATCCCTGCTTCCTTGGTGGGTGTCAGCCAAGGATGCACCCTCAGCCCCTCACAGCTCTCACATTCTTAATCAGGTCGCTTCTCCAGCTGGGAAGCCAGCCGTGGTGTATCGGTCCTTTCCCTGGCTCTGAATCTCTCTGAATTCTTCTGTTTCCATCTTCTGGCTCTAAAGGACTTGCATGGTTACACAGATAATCCAGGATCATCCCCTCTTTCAATGGCATCTGATTAGGAACCTTAATTATGTCTTTAAAGGTCGTTTGGACACAGAAGGTAATGCCATGGCTCCACCCCCAGTTCACACATTGAACCGCTAACTCCCTCTTTGGAGGTGGAGGCTTTGGGAGCGTTAGAGGAGGTCCTAGCGTTAGAGGGTGAGCCCTGTCTGTGTGATAAATCCTTAGAAGAAGATGAAGAGACTCAGCTACTAGAGCTCCGCCCTTCCTTACCACTGTGAGGCTGCAGCAGGAAGGCGCTGTCTGTAAACTAGGGAGGGAGCCTCCCCAGACTTGAGCACGCAGACACCCCTATCCCAAACTTCTCAATTTTCAGAGCAGTGAAGGAAAAATATCTCTTGTTTAAGCTGCCAAATCCAACTCATTTTGCTGTAGTAGCCTGGACTAAGGCAGGTGAGGTATTCATGGTTGAGAACCTGGAGCAGAGCCCAGGCCTGGGGTTTGGGATGTAGACTCCTGGAGGTCATTCTTCTACCTGCTCCTGGACTCCGCCACCTAAATCCTGCCACACTTTCATGAAGCTGCCCATGGGTCCATCGTCCATCGTCATCTTCTCCCACAATGTATGTGCCCTTCTTTTTCCAGCCCTGGGTTCTGACTGTGTGGGGTCACCCCATCTGGGCCAAATGAACATCTGGTTTGCTGAGGACCATTCTGGTTGACACCATCATCTTGATTTGAATTAACAGTGCCTTCTTCTTCAGCAGAGCTGCAGAGTCTCAGTGTGGATGGAAGTGTCCCAGTGTGCACGGCAGGCTGGCCGGCTCCCTCTGCACCTTCTAGGGCTGGTAGATCCTGAGAGCAACAGACACTTGGGGTTCTTCCTGGTGCACCTTGGCTCATTCTCTCCATATCTGAGAGCCACTGTCGACTTCACAGATGTCTGTGGAATGAATGAACAAACGTTTTAACATTAAAAAATGCACATGAGAAAAAATTCAAACAGTACAAAAGAGCATGCAGAGAAAATTCAATTCTTCATCCTTCCTCCACTTCTCCCCAGTTTTCTCCC